TTGTGAGATTTTCAATTTATAAACCATAATGTAAAATTGGCAGATGGTGGACAGAAAAATGCTCATTACAGATCAGCTTTGTCTTTTTGACATCTGTACAAAGTACTACTTGTTCTGCTAATCTAGCTCTAGAAAACTGCTCCAAAATAGATCGCTCACCACTGCCAATCCAGAAAAAAAATGCCATTATTTAACACCAAGGCACATTATAACATTATTTAGTACAATTTTGGCTCTATGTATTTTAATATTATGTAGTAAATACAGAAAAAAAAAGTCAGAAGATTCAGAAGAACATTACACAAACAAGTCCGCAACACTCCACAAGTACCAACAAGAACAGTCCACAAGTACTAACAAGAACAATCCACAAGTACCGACAAGAACAGTCTACAAGTACCAACAAGAACTACAGCAATCCAAAACTGCAACCAAATTAGTAACATCTTCAAAGTTATCAACCAGTAAAGCAGCAACCAATTGTCAACAGTTATCTCAATCGCGCTCAATAGATATAACTAGGAGATTGGTTACCCAGTCTTTGAAGATCTTAACACTGTTTTGACAAGACCAAGTTTACTGTAAGACCTTTCGTTTTCAGCTACAGAAAAATAAATCGTGCTAAAAATACATAGCAAAATGCTTATTGATTTAAATAGAGGTCATTCTGGTATATCTCATTCAATAGCTTCATTGAAGTAAGAAATTCAAAATATCGCTTCAAAATATCCAAATAATGAACTATTAATTTTTTTTTCACCCACATCGTTCACACAGCTTTGCGCCAAAAGTTTTTATTTCTCCTCCAGACTTGAACCTTATACACTTGGCGAGGCACAAAAATCAATTATTTGCAAACCAAATTGTAAGTTATGTTGTCAGTATACTAAAAAAATAAAGGAAAGAGAGCGCGCATTTTTAGGGATGCTAAAATATCGCAAAAAAAACAAACAAACAAAAAAAGAATATATATACAGAATAATTCAAAGATATCAAAATAAAAGCAGGAGTGAGTTCATCAATAATGCCGATAGAGCTGCAACTAAGTTGCCATTTAAAAAATAAAAGTTCAGATATTAAGAGCTACTTTTACAAACAAGAATCGACGCTAAAGTGTAAGAAGAACTGAATAGCTTTCAAAAAAAAAAAAAAAATGAAAAAACATCAGCACTTTAGTAGCTCTAAATAGTGCTCTAGAACTAATGGCTCGTTCAAAACCAAAACTTTTAGAAATTAGTAATTTTGGCGTTTAGAATTAATTTACCTTATACATTTTAAATTATGCTAAATATTTAATAATTTTTTAATAAAGTTGAATAATATTTTGATAAAGCTGATAATATCAATTTAGCGGCAGAATCTAGTATACTAAAACGGAGATGTCAAAAAAACGTAAAATTTCTTCGCAGTTTACTCAAAGCAGTGTTTCTATTCTGTTAGATTCAAGAAAACCACTTACTTGTAAATAACGGTTATATTCTCTCTTGATTGGTTTTTAAATTTGAAAAAGGAGAAGCAATTTTAAATTTGAAAAAGGAGACACATTCTATACGTGTAAGCAAATTATTTTTTTTATTTGTAAGCTTAAGACTTATTTTGCATTACGACGATGATGACGATGATGACGATGCCTCAAGAGCAAACCTCAAGAGCAAGTCTTTCGAATTGTGATTGTGATACTTGGTACACTCTTAATTTCAATTTTAACTGATAAGATTAAGGTTATTTAAATGACATTTTTATCATATTATATGACATAACTATTATGTATTTTCAACTTCCACCAAATATTTTGAGCCCCATCCGACAAAAGTAAAAAAAATCTTAGAGGAACTCAAGAAGTTGGAAGAGCATGCAATAGTAGAGAGAGATGAGGCAACAGCTACAGTAATGCTGAAAGAATACATAGGTATAATAGGTACGACGTTTTATTTCAAATCAAGTAAGCTTCTTCATTAATTGAAACCTTCTCTATACTGGTAAGTGAAATAAAAGCAACAAGTCCATTTCTTTATGAATATTGCAAAACTGGATTTACTGACGCATATATATTGGCATTAATGCTTAAATAAGTACTGAGCAGTGAAAACGCTGTTCCATATGTGCGCACTCACAAAAATAAAATTCATCATGTTGTTTATGTTCATTATATAAGTGTTGATCATTCTTGAAAACCTGATTATAAAGCAGATTTCATTTTGCCACTCATTGTTTGTTACCTGCATCAGTTTAAAAAGCGTTTTAAATAGGTCGTCTTTGTCAAAAAAGCTCTATGATTTTTCAACAGGTCTGAGAGTCAATTTCGATCATTGAAAAATAAATCATGCCGCTACTACTTTTTCCTTTAGAAAAATTATTTCAATTTTTATAATAATAATGAACTATGATAGCAATAAAATGAGTTTTATGAACTTTTTGTTTTTAACTAGAAATAATCGGCTTCTTTCTGTTTGTGTTTGTCCTGTCGTTCACATTCGGCTGTTGCAAAGAACTACACACTTATTATACATACTGTTTACGCCACAGTTCAATTAAAGATTCTCAAACAAGGTAAGTTTCTAACATCGACTTAACAAGAAAGATTTAATAACAATTTAATGAACTTTAATAAAAATTAAAGTTCATTAAAGTTATAAATTCTAAAATAATTAATATAAAGATATCTTATAGACAGTGACGGATCCAGGCGTAGGATGGGTTTTATGCATCCCCTTCTCAATTCGCTAATCTTTTTGTTTTTTAGCTTTGAGATTAAAGAACTTTTTTGGGCAAACATAAATGTCCGCATAATTGCAGTCTTAAAGAAATATATTTAGAAAACTAAATATAACTCTTAATTTAGTAAAGTAAGTTTTCTAACTATTTTAGAAAACTGATTTTACTGCGTCATTAATATTAAAACGTCTTTTTATTCCATTGCATATTCGACTCTATTGTGAAATGACTCCGCAGGCATGAAGGTATGAAGGTAAATGGCTGAAGGTGAAATGAAATCACTGAAGATGAAATGATAGACATGAAGGTAAAATGACTCCGCAGGCATAATAGCTTGTTTATACAAGCAGGCCCAAAATAAAATATTTTAATTTCCTCAATTTTGGTTTCCGTTTTCCGTTTTTTACTACAAAAATTCCATAAAAAAATACTAGATGTTGAAACCATATTGAGTTAGGAGCAAACAGTAGTTAATGAACGCCAAGGCACCCTAAATATTTTTACCGTAAATATTATTCCTTTTCTCTTTTCTGCTATTGGAATAAATGTTTTATGATATGAAACCAAATATCTTGTAAATTTTGTACGAAGGGCGAGAAAGAACCAAGGGTGAGAAAATCTATTTTTAACGGTTTACAGCTAAGTTACAAACGTTCAACTGACTTAAATAAACTAAATACCGGCTTAATTAATTTATTTATTCGATTATATCGGCTTAATTTAATTTATTTATTCCATTATCTCGTTAAACACGCTAAAAGCGTGTTTAACGAGATAATGGAATTAATTAATGTTTTGCATTTAAAGGATTTTAATTCTGTCAAACTTATAAAAAAGTTACATTAATTGGTACTACATACCATTTGTAGATTGAAACAACTTAATCAGTGGTGTCTCTGCAGTAGTTTTAAAATGTTTCAGGGTCAATGTCATAGCCAGAACATATGGATATCAGAATAGTTTTTCAGTCTTTCTACAACTTTTTTATCCACGCTAATGATATTAGCAAAAACTTCTGAATCTTCAAATACTCTTCTTGCAGTATTGTCATCATTTGAATTACCAAAGGACTGGTCAGCTCCAATCTGGTCTGGGTTGGTCTGTACAAGAATCATATAAAAAATATTTAAAAGTACAAATACAGTTAAGAGAACTTGTAGAAGTTATACGTTTTCATCACAATCCCTGAGCCTTACCTTAATAGCATCATTTATTTAAGTTTTGCCCCAAAAATCTTAGAGTATTGAGTGAAATTATTATCTTTTAGAGCTTATACTGCCTTTACACCAAACCTAGTAAATTCAATCTTATAGTTGATTTTGTTGGTAGTCTTTCCTGCTTTAATCAAACATTGTTGAAGATTCAAAACTTTCAATCTTAATACCACCTTTTCTTCGACAGAAAGCAACTTCTTCTTTCTATACTGAATTTTAACTTGCCGGAAAAAACGGGAATTTGATGATTTTGCCTGCTGTAGATCTGTGTTACTGTACTTTTGTTTCTAAATACTCTGACTTGAGAAATCTCCCCTCAAAGTCTAACACTGTAACAAATTTTATTCATTTGTATTAATAACTTTCTGAGCCTTAAATGCTGCTATGATCAATGCTTCTTGATGCTGGATACCGCAACTCTGCATCTCTTGCTCCATTTTCCTAATTCTTCCCATGGCTTGACAGGCTTCCAACTCCAGAAAGAATTTTTTTCTTACCACACTTTTTAAACTATACTTGAGTTTCTACCCATGTTTTTTTTTATTATTAATAAGTCTGACATAAATTTTTTGGTATTTTTGAATTTTGCCTTCAATTTTAAAACTACATTATCAATTTGCCTTTTTCTTTCAATTTTATTTTGCCTTCAATTTTAAAACTACTTTATATTGTTTAAAATCTTCAAATTTCATGATTATATTATTTTTCTAAAATCCACTAATTGTTTTGTGAGATTCGGACATGTAAAACTGCCAATAGTTTGATTTTAAATATGTTGTCTCTTCATTTCGAAAGTTCTTTTGAGTTCCTAGTTTATGTTTACTACTTAAATTTTCGACGATACACAAACTTACACACACACACACACTTCTATTGGATGCTAGAAAGATTATTTATAAATATTTTGTTTCAGCTATAACTTTTAATTGATTTTTGTTTCCTAAATGTTAAACAAGTATTATTACTTTTATTATTTTACAACCCTTTGATTTTATTACTGATTAGATAAAGAAAACTTTAATGTTCAAATCAAGGAAACTTTCGACTATTTTGTTTTATCACTACAATAACATGCTTGCAGCAACTTATAAGATAAGTTTGTATTGTTATTTTGCATTTAAAATCCCATCGAATTAAACACAAAAACCGGCATAACCTATAGCACCATAGTTTACCCAGCGCAATCAATGAACTGAACACAAAATTAGATCACTGAAAAAAAATGACGCAAAAAACCTTTAAATCGATGGTGCAAACGGATTTTTTGAGGAATCACTTTCAAAATGTGTCAAAACGTAGAAAATAATGAGTTTTACTAAAAAAATGCAAAATGTAGTCACAATTCTTTTTTTTTTCAAAAATAAATGCAAGTGTTTCAATTAAGGCGCTGTCCCAATTTCGGCAACTCTCCCCTACTGTGGAATCATGTGAGACTTTTTGAATTGTTAACTTTAAACGCAGAAGTTGATTTTAAAAAAGTTTGTGAAAACATATCTTTAATAATAGTTTTATACATATACAGTGTATATGTATAAAACTATTATTAAAGATATGTTTTCACAAACTTTTTTAAAATCAACTTCTGCGTTTAAAGTTAACAATTCAAAAAGTCTCACATGATCCCACAGTCAGGGTCAGGGTATATTATACTGTATAACTGTATTAACTGTATTAACTGTATATTATACAGTTAAAGAATTTGTTTTTGCATGATTTCAAAATTTTTTTCTTTTATTAGATATAAAAGGTTTTTTTTATTAGATATAAAATATTTTTTTATTAGATATAAAATATTTTTTTATTAGATATAAAATATTTTTTTATTAGATATAAAAGATTTTAAAACTATTAAAAACAAGTAGTTTTAAAAAAAAACAATTTTTTTTGTCTTGACACCATTTTGAAATGTAAATATAAATGTCGCGAAAGTCGCGGAGTTTTACTTTTTCTTTCTATATGCACACTAAAAGCCTCACTTTTCTTCAAAAAAATTACTATCCGAATACCCTACTAATACTAATAAAAAAAATAATACTAATAAAAAAAATTCTTTTATAGCGCTTCTGAGTTAGATTCTTTTCTGGAATATAAAAATGCACAAATATCCACTAATTACAAAAACATCAAGGCATTATTGACATTTTTGTTTATTTTAAATCATTTTAAAATTTTTCAGTTTTTATTATCCGCAATTAGCAAAACATTATAGATCTGCATGATTGTAAAGTATGTATGCATGAATGTGTATGTTTGTGTGTGTGTGTGCATATATGAGGTTATGAATTAATATATATATATATATATATATATATATATATATATATATATATATATATATATATATATATATATATATATATATATATATATATATATATATATATATATATATATATATATATATATATATATATATATATATATATATTAAAAGATGAGTTATATATATATATATATATATATATATATATAAAAGATGAGTTATATATATATATATATATATATATATATATATATATATATATATATATATATATATATATATATATATTAAAATATTATATATATATTAAAAGATGAGTTTTTTTTCATTTTTTTAGAATGAAAAAGCACGCGTTAGTAACCCTAATTTACGTTTTAAAACTGATCTTGCTCTACGTATTAACAATGTTGATAATGACATTTCACGTTGGTATACTAGCTTTAGTAATGTGTGGAGTTGGTTTGAGTTACTTTTTTATAAATCCTTATATAACAAAATCTATAAACAAAATGAATTCAAATATTGCAATGATAGAAAAAGAAGGAAAATACGAATTTATAGAAAGCTCATTAAATGATTAAATATATAATATTTACTCTAGAATTATTCAACGTTTGCAACAAATAAGCTTCTGATGCATTTTGATGCTTTTGATATGTTTAAAAAACAATAGTTGCAACTCTATAGTTGTAACTCTATTTAAACTTTCAGGTTTTTCTTTCACTTTCATTAAAAAAAGTTTGGATGCGTTTAATGTATTCAACTTTTTTGTTCAAAAAGTTGAATACATTAAACGTGTTTTTTTGTTTTTTTAGCAACTTGTAAACAGCAAACTTCAAAGTTTATGTTTTACCAACAGCATGTTATTGGAGCGTTGAAAAATCTTGTCAAAAATCAAAGTTTTTCTTTTGTAGATTTTTTCATTTAGGTAAAGTTTTCTTGAATAGATTATGAAACAAGGCGGAAATATCCTCTTTTCAGTGTAGTACTTAATTTTTTATAAATAAGGAATTTACTGAATGGTATTTGTAAATAAAACAACTATTTAAATTTTTGTTCACTGTAACTTTTTGGTTGGTGTATTCTGTTTATTAAACAATCCCCATCAAAATGCCTGTGGTACATTTACTCTACTTTTGGTATTTAAACTCTGGAAATCTGAGAAGAATTTCTAAAGTTTTGGAAAATTGAACGAGTAAATGCTGAATATTTTGCTCAATTTGTTTTAGGTTCTTAAAAAAAAGAAAAGGAGACACACCGGGGTAAATTACTAAAACAAGCATATGATAGGATAAATGTTATGTCAGCTGCAAACGATGTTCAAGTGAAAAAAAAAAATTTAGTGATTGCCTTTCTAGTAAATTAACAGAAATGAGAAACTGCATTGCATGCATGGATTGATAAACGACATTACTCTCCAAAACAACAATCTTTTTTTGAAATTTTTAGTTTTCTCGTTCTAAAGTTATCGGTAAAAACTGTTCGTTAAAAAAAGCTTTCAAATGCTAAATGGATAGCCAGTTAGCATTTGAAAGCTTTCACAGTATGTATAATATTTCATGCATTTTTATGAAAGTTTTCTGCTCGCCGCAGGAGTATGATAATCTATAATCTCGGGAAGATTGGAATTGGGTTCGTGAAATTTAAACTACAGCACAAGGTTTGTCTACAAGCTGATGAACATCCCAATTCTAATAACATTGATTTGCATCATAAAATCCATAGCCCATCTAAAACCTTTTTCGGTAAAACTTTAAAAACTTGCAGTGTAAAATAACTTCTTTATAATCATCCCTCTACTGTGTTTTTACGTTATGTATGCTATCTGGTTGTTTTTCAGTTGCATTTTGTGTTTGAAATGAATAAATATCCTGTTTGCGCCTCTGGCTGATATAGTAGATACAAAAAGTTAAAGAGGAGAATTTTGCATAATTTGTTTATCTTAAAAATGAGTTTCACGAGTGGGTTTTCGAGAAACGGAAAAATTGGTTTTTGTTGGCAAAAGGATAGTTTGCTTTTGTGTTCTTTAAATGAAAAAAAGATATATACCAAAATACCAAAAAAACAAATTTTAATAACTAAAGCATGAACTGAAAGGTGTACAAAGTCTATCCATCGAAACTCCTTAACACTTTGACAAAGGACAATAAACAACCTAACTTTTATTACTAAAAGTTATTTTTTTAAACAACTTTTAGTAATAGTTGCGTAAGATGAGCAGGTTCTTAAGATGGTATAGCCTTTTTATGGCTTTTTATTAGGAAAAGCCCGTTTTTTCTTAATAAAAGGTTACTCTAAATATTATAATATTTTGACTTCAGAAAAACAATATGCTTTTAAAGTGCTCAACAGACGCAACCTTCCCCTATTACTAAAAGATTCTTAAGATTGTGGAACTTCTTGTTCTTGTTTCTTGTACTACTTTCTCGTAAACAAGTTGCTTACTAAAAATTAAAAAAAACGTGTAAAGTAATAACTAGAAAACAAAGTGTTTTTACTTCATTCTAAAATTATTAACCTGCATGAAAAAACATGGGTATAATAAAGTAAACGTGGCGCAATAATTAGAGTTCTGGTTCAGAAGTGAGCCGGCATCAAACCATATAGTCCGAGGTTTAATGCCGACTCTGGCCAAATAAGCGACATTTGAAAAGAATGAGTTGTAAACTTTCTAGTCAAATGTTCTTCCGTTGTCAAACGTTCTCAATAAATATTCTGGATGTTTTTTTACAGAGACTGTGATAAGACCCTAATGATATTTGATTTGCAACGATATTAATTTTTTGACAATTTATTTTCTTCTTTAAATTCTTGAAAATAAAAACAACAACAATAACAATATATTTTACAGCAAAATTATTGGATTGGTCATGTAAAAGAAATTGATATTTAACTCGATGGTTAACTTTTTTTTAATAATATAACGCTCTTATGCCAATTCGCACTTAAGCCAGTTCGCATTTGTGCCAATGTTTGCAAATTTATTTGGTGCACTTATGCTAGTTCGCACTTATGTCAGTTCACACTTGTGCCAATTTGCACTTATGCCAATGTTTGTAAATTTATTCGGCGCACTTATGCCAATTCGCACTTATGCCAGTTCACACTTATTCCAGTTTTTGCAACGCTTTCCACTTATGCCAGTTCGCACTTATGCCGATTTGCGCTTATTCAGCCTCCCGAAAAAAAAGTTTGCAAATACAAAAAAAACGTTTTCATAAATAAAAAAAAAAAACGATTTATATAAACAGACAGGGATCAAAAGAAGATACGAATGACCGAAGTCACTACAGCCTTTTCATAGAACCCCTTTTTGGGCTTTTAACAAGTGAAAATAAAATAAAATTGTAAATCAAAATTTTATAAAACTCCGATATATATGTTGAGGAAAAGACAATAAATAGACACTAATAAATAACTCCAATAAACATAAATTAAGTTAAATAAAAAAATAAAACATAAAATACGAAATTAAGTTTAACAAAACAGTTTATCAAAAAGTTTATATATCAAATTTCAAAGCTTTCGTTTGACTTAAAATTTATCTTTTTATATGAAACTTAAACGAATTTACTGATTTCACCATATTGAAATAGTTATTTTTAAAGCTTTTCCATATCTTAGGCCCTTGATATTTTATACTTTACTCTTCATATTTTGTTAATCACAGAGCACCGTGAAAGTGCGTTTAACCAGGAAGTTTACGCCTCGAAAATATATCTAAAGTTTGTTTTTAACCTGGATCTCCTGCTTATAAAGCAAAGGTAGCAAAGAAAACAAAATTACTTTTATAATTGGAGATTTCAACATGAGCTGTTTAATTTATAATAAAGATAAAAAAGTAAAAAGTTTTTTTGATGAAATACTTATGGCAGGACCTCTTCCTTTAATTAAACGCCCTACTAGAATAACCAAAACTTCAACTACGTTGATTGATAATATTTTTACAACAGATATTTATAATAGGAAATTAAAAAAAGGATTATAAAACCGACATATCCGATCATTTCCCCATTTTTCTAACAATCCATACTGTATCCTATAATAACCCCGAAAGACAAAATATAATAAAAAAACGTGTCTTCAATGAAAGCAATATAAAATCCTTCCAATATCAATTATCACTTCTGCATTGGAAACTTATTAACTTTAATGAAGACGCAAATACAATATATAATAAATTCTTTGATACGTTCTTCTCAATATAGGATGCAAACTTTCCACTTTGTGAAAAAATAACAAAAAAAAAAACCTTAAATAGTCCATGGATTACCAAAGGACTTAAAAAATCTTCTAAAATCATACAGAAACTATATATAAAATATTTAAAAACAAAATCAAATGAAAAACAACAAAAATATAAAAATTACTAACTTTTATTTGAAAAAATTCGTAAAAAATTAAAAAAAAATTATTATTCAAATTTAATTAGTAAATTTAAAAACGACTCAAATAATACTTGGAGAACGTTGAAAGAAATAACAGGAAAACAAAAAACAAATTCAAACTCCCTTCCTAAAGTAATTAAAATAAATAAAACAAATATATATGAACCAAACAAAATTGCAAACGAGTTTAATAAATATTTCATTGATATAGGAACCAAATTGGCAAACAAGGTCTATTACAGAAAAAATTTTTAGTGATTTCCTAGAGCCTATAAATAATTCGCTTTTTATAGATAATTTACATTCTGACTTATCTTTTGATGAGCTTGAGAGAGCTTACAAATCTCTCAAAAGAAACAAAGCTACGGGTGCGGACGAAATAAATGGCAACATAGTCATAGATTGCTTTGAAAACTTAAAATATATTCTTTATAAAGTCTTTAGGGCATCTATACAGGAAGGTGTATTCCCCGACCAATTAAAAATAGCTAAAGTAACTCCTATATACAAAAACGGAAAAAAAATCAAATATTAGTAATTATCGCCCTATCTCAGTTCTTTCAACTTTCTCAAAAATTTTAGAAAGAATTATATACAATAGAACATACAATTACCTTAATCTAAATAAACTTCTCTATAAAAATCAATTCGGTTTTAAAAAAAATTGTTTAACTGAACAAGCCATTACACAGTTCATTCGTGAAATCTCCAATTCATTTGGTAGATCACAATATACATTAGGTATTTTCATTGACCTATCAAAAGCATTCGACACGGTCGATCACAAAATTCTACTTAAAAAACTCAAATTTTACGGAATAAATGGCAAATTAATAAAATGGTATAAAAGTTACTTGAAAAATAGAAAACAATTTGTTTTCTATGGAGATTATTTTCAAAATGAAAAATTGATTGACATAAAATGTGGTGTTCCACAGGGTTCTATTCTAGGCCCACTTTTGTTTTTAGTTTGTATAAATGATTTAAATAAAGCTTCTAACCTTATGAGTATCATTTTTGCGGACGATACTAATTTATTTCTGTCAAACAGTGACATATATGAGCTTTTTTCAAATATGAATAAAGAACTCAATCAGATCTCCAATTGGTTTAAGTGCAACAAGTTAACTTTAAACATTGACAAAACAAAATGGATCCTTTACCACTCTCTTGCAAAAAAGCGTTTTTTACCAAATAAATTACCTAA